CTTACAAAAATCTCCAAATTGAATCTGCACAGAACTTTCAAGATCTTCAAAGACCTTCAACGAAAATCAAGAACTTGAACCCTTTCCAAATCTTCAAAAGCATATTCGATTCCAAGTAAGTTGTGTTTCTCCTTCAAGAAACCCTAAATCATCTTCGATAAACCCTAAATCCATCCTTGTTCTAAAAACCTGCAAACAGAAACCCTAATCTTTTTAAAAACCTGTTCTTAAACCTTAACCTTTAAAAATGTTTTCATCCTCATAATCAAACAACTCCCAAAAAAAAACTCCACAATAAAATCCATTGAAGGTACAAACCATCATGTGATTCCCCTACCTCTTAAACCCAATAACCATGCCCTACATCTCATCCTAGACAACTTTGAGTTCAAATACCACCTTGTGGTGGATGTTCTTCACCACCGTTTCTTGAACCCATCCTTGACCAATATAGACGACGAAGTCCCTGAGAGATTCATCCAGGAGTATTGGCAAATGTGTGAGGTAATGGCCAATGAGAAAGAAATCGTAGGAGAATTTTACATACCAGAAAACAAGTAATTCTGTCAAGTCACGATTTCTAGGTCTCTTTTCTCCTTGGTGTTGCGAATTCCAATGAAGACAGATCTTGGATTGCCTGCATATGCTCCACTTCCAACAGGTGAAGAAATTGTTGGATTTTTTAAGCTGGTTGGGGTACAACCAACAGATCAAGTACCCCTCCCAATTTAGGCGCCAGTTCGTGCTGCCTATGTGGAACGTTTTGTTCACATTGGTGAACAGGCCCTAACCGGAAAAATTGGGAGCATGGACATACTTTGATTTGCCTTCGTATTACTCCTTATCCTACAGCTGCTGTATGGGATATACTTTGATTTGCCTTTGGGTTACTCCTTAACCCTCTACACCGAGTTCAAGGTTGCCGTGGCAAAGAAGACCTTAGACAAGTCAAATGGCAAGGATTTGCCTGCACTGCTATTCCCCAGGTTTATAGGCCTTCTCCTAAGACCTGGATTGGAAGAGAGTGAAATTCCATGCATATCAGGCCCCATGGTCTGGTCAAGGTGAACATCCTCTCTACCTACCGTCCTACTCTGCACAAAGACGAATACCCTGCAAGGCCACTCCCCAAGAAGCTAATGGCATATATCAAGACGAGGGAGGTGAAGAGAGCCTACAGACATGTACGCGAGTCACTAAAACCAGTGACTCGAACCCCAACACGCATAGGGGAAACCGTTGATGGAGAGGAGGGAGAACAAGAGACAGAGAAGGAACACAGAGGGAGATGGAGAGAGATGAAAGAGAAAGGAGGGAGTTGGAAAAGAAGAAGAGGGAAAAGGAGATGAAGAAGAGGAAAAGAGAGGGAAGAGGAACAAGCCAAGAAAGCAAGGCTAGAGAGGGCGCAGAGGGAGAAAGAAGAAGAAGAGAGGAGAGCAAGAGCTGAGATAGAGAGGAAAGAACAAGAGGAGAGGGAGAGGAAAGCAAAAGAAGATGCTCTACTTCAACAAGAAGAGAGTACAAGGGAAGAGGAAGAAGAAGAAGAGAGTTCTGATGAAGAGAGCTCTAGTGATGAAGAGGGTGACGAGGAGGAGATATTCAAGCTGAGGGGGAGCCAGAGCAAGAGGGAGCTAGGAACAAGCACATATACTTCTCAAGCCCAACTCCCAGTGCAAGCACATCATTTGATTCAGTTGGTCGAGCAACACGAATCATTGAAACAGAGGTGCACGCCTCAAACCCGCACTAGCCTAGCCAGCCAGAGGTCGCATCTGCCTCTGGCCAATATAGCCAAAAGGAAACCACACTTCAGGCTTCATCCTCTCAAAATGGTGAATCCTTTGAAAAGATAAGTGGCATGTCTCCCCATGCCACGATACCATCCCATACAGAGGAATTTGTTTCCTCTGCACTAGCGCTATCCCCAAATTGTTCAGAGCAAGACTTAGGTGCACGAGACTTTGAGACTTTCGACCAAACTCAAAGTCCACTCATTGATGACCTTCCATCCAACTCTAAATTGAGTGGAAGAGTTCATTATGACGGAACAACCATAGTATCCTCTCCTCATGCAGAGATACGAGGATCGGCTGGAAATCCTTCCATGTTCGACGTCCAAATAGATAAATGAAGGTGTCCTTGGGACAAGGACTTACTCTGTTGGGCCGGAGGTCACCCCAACAGAATATGTCACGAAAGGAGAGTTCCAAACCTTCGCCACCTTTGTTCTGTGCTCCTTGGAAGAGCTTAAACTTACAATGGCCCGTGCAGAGCCATCAACTTATGCATCTGCTTCAGATGAAATCATCCATTGCAACATTGAGAGCTGAGTCTTTAACAAATGCTTCTCGCATCGAATGATCTCTGGAATTGACGGCGAGCACTAATGAAACCCTGCAAAGGGTTATTTCTTTTCTAAGAGGGAGGAGGCCAGGCCAACAACACTTGTCTCTATGGACCAATTTCAAAGGTTCAGAGAGGACATCGTAAAGATGAATGAGCAAGATCTCATCCCAGTTGGCGCCCCTGCAGACTATATCACCCGTACAGAGATGGTGGCTCTGGGTGATCGTCTTCTCCAAAGAGTGGCTGACTTCACGTCCGAGTTTAACAACACAGCCAAAACATCTGTAGCAGAAATGCGCCATTCCTTGGCTGCATTCAAATTCAGGGCGGATGTAGAGATCACAAAGGCCACACAGGCGGCAGATATCATAGAGCTCTTCGATGAGAAGGTGAAGGCAATGCCTCCCACAGAGCTCAAACAGAAAAAGAAGAGAAAGAAGAGAAAGTTGAGGAAGCTTGGCTTTACATGTGGAGAAATTTCAAGGAAGAGGAGACATCTTGACGATGATGAGGACCAGGATGACTCTGGTCCTCAAAATCATCAAGAGGGGGAGAGCACACAGCCAGAGCAACAATCAAATATTGCTCCCTCCTCCTCTGTACCTGCCCCCACATCAACAAATCAAGAGCCTGCGCCAACCACTCAAGCACAAGACAAAAAAAATGAGCCAAAGATGGTACATACAGAGTTGAGGTGCGGCTAGAGCTACCAGCCCCTCAACAAACAGACAGCACAGCCAGAGCCTACTCATCAAGAGCAAGAGTCAACAAAGCCAGAGTCGGCCTCTATATCACTTGGTGGAGAGAGCTCTACACTTAAGCTCTTAACAACTTATGCATCTTCATCAAGTGAATCCTCCTCCTCCTCATCCTCAGAATGCTTCATGGAAACCGCCCAACCAAGAGGAGAGGATAAAGAGGAGATTGTTGTAAATGTGCTAGAGCCAGAGGAGGAACCACCAGGAGCAAGATAATACTGAGAAACTTAGCACCATACTGAAATAAACAAAAAAAAAAAAAAGGAATCTTGATAAACTTAGGTGTTGGAACTGATGTGGTCTGGCAGCAGTAAACCTTAACATGCCTTGGCGGTGGTTATGTATGTACTGCTCTAAGGTTTTTTTCAGTGAAGGAACCACACTGATAGCTTTGTTCTAGTTTTCCCCATCCTTCAGTCAATTAAGCAGGCTCTTTTTCGGGGAGGGTAGGCCAAGCACCTGCCATTGTCTCCATCATCATCTTTCTCCCATCTCTACCATGGGTTGGGTTCCGGTGAAAATGGAAGTTATGGTGAGAAGGGTAAGAAGGGATCTCCACCCTTGGATCAATCCTAATTGAAGATCAACACTACTGAGATGCACCGGATCAATTCCTGTGAAAAGCGCAATTCATAGGGTGTGGGTGAGATTAAAAATGATCAAGGGTCCAGATCCCTTCTTATGCTTCTCAACTTAACTTTTATTCTCACATGATCCTCTCGGCCATTGTCCCGAGAGATGAAAAAAAGAAAGAAAGGCTGCAATAACAAATATCCACTAGACCACTTTTGACTACAAGAAAACCAAATCAGGTGAGAAGAACCCATAATAGAGGTGGACCGCAGTTACATTGAACCAGAGGATGGAACATATTGCAAAAGTCCCTCAACTTCTTCTGAAAAAATTCAAACATGATTCTTGAACTTTCTGGAGGTTAGAAAACCTCATATATTCTAGAATTGCAAAAGAATGCTTGAAATGTTAGAAATTATTAACCAGGTAATGTGTCAGATTGACAGGGAGGTGAAACTAATCAGTTGATGAAGATGAGATACTAGGTACTCTATGGTTTGATAGGTCTTGACAAGATATATGGTTAGGATCTAAAGGGTCAGAACGGGTTATGTGGGTCAAAGGTAGCCAAAAGAAACATAACTTCTAAAGTAGAAAATTATGCACCTGTGATGTCTATGTATTGTGGTTTTACAAAGTACTAGCCTAAAGCAGCAAAGCACTCATGTCATGCAAGTATTTTGGGGTTCAAAGAATATGTCTCATAAAACCTAGAGTACACAATGTACACACTCTCTAAAACAAGCTTTAACACTTCACTTGGTTCTTATCTTTATGCAAGGTAAACCAGAAGGGCCCAAAACCCATCCTTCCTGTTCGTTTTGTTTCATGTTGACTTGTAGCATCTTGGATCGCTTACAAGAAACATGTAGAAAACTGCTTCTAAATAGTGTAAGCAGCAATGAAGTTCCTAAAGTACTAACAAACGATTGCTGACATGTGGAAAAACTAGTATCTTAGGCCACTAAAGGATCACTAATACACTTAGCACAAAGACAAAGCCACCCTTATTGGCCCAACGGAAGTCTGCATGATACATTCAGCATTATCGATACGTATTTTCTAACCATGCAACAGGTACCAGAGCATGCCGATTCTTGTTACAAAGTTCATACTGTAATTCACAGCACATCAAGCACCAAAAAGTCCATTGATAATCAATAGATGCTCAAATGCAAGGACCTCCAATGAAGTTCAAAAATCGGAAGGGAGTTGCGATATTCTAATTTACTAGCTCTTACTTAACAGAGACAGCCTTAATAAGAAACAATAGTGATGAAAGGAAACGGCAAAGTCAATGAATGATTTGAATCGAAAACTTACCCTTTGATGTCGGTACGTCCATATGTTGTTTTCAATCCCACGACACCACAAAGGGAAGAAGGAATACGAATTGAACCTGGAATTTAACATTAATCATTATTAGTGGTTGGGGAATTAATACAATTTATCAATGCTTAATCTTCAAATCCTCATGTGATATGCATACAACCTCCGCCATCTGTTCCCAGTGCAGCAGAACATATTCCGGAAGCTACAATAGCTGCTGGGCCTGATGATGATCCACCTGTATATCTATCCAGATCGTGTGGATTTCTAGCAGTTCTGTCATGAAAATGTGTTTTTAATGTGATACAGAACAACCAAGGGAACCAAAATTGGCAAGAGAAAGAAAAGAACAGGTGTCTGCATGTGGAGTATAATACCCGCAATTCTTCATATTTATTTTCAATCTAGAGTCTTTGGATTTTATCGGTTTAAATTTGTAATAGCAAGTTATTACTGGTTTAATGTTGCTATTATGACCTTACATTGTGTTGGTGGTTTAAAGATCAAAAAATGGTGAAATTTTGAGGATTCTAGTACGTTGAGCGACTTCCCGCACGGCTAAAGCCGCGGGAAAGGTCATCTAACCCACTGTTTGTTTCGCCCTCTTTGTGCAGGTCAAGAAATTTCGCTCAGTGGCCGAGGCCACACACGAGGCGTCTTAAGGCGCATGGGCTAAGTTGCCCGGATGCTGAAGCCGTGTACGGGAAGGGCGCCTGGATGGTGAGGTGTGTGTGAACAAGGCCGGGCAACCTAGGCCGCCCCACAGGAAGCCCGAGCCACTACCTGCTAACCTTGGTCCAGGCTTGGCCCTCTTACTCGTTACCTCCTTCCTTCCTCATTTACTCTCCATACTTCTCCCTCTCCCTTCGATTTAGAGTTCATTTAAGGGGATTTCTCAAGAAGTTATTGTGCATTAAAGGAGCCTAGAAGAAAGCTTCAAGTGTGGAACCAAACAACTCAATTTCTCTATATTCTCTAGGGTTTCCTTGATTTTCCAAGTTTTCACTAAAACCTAGTATTGTGAGTTCATCCTATACTTTTTTCTAAACCATATACATGTTAAAATGTTGTATTTTAGTACTTAAAGCTTTTATTTCAAGTATTTCACATTTGAAAGATTTTGGACTAACTAGGTCAAATTTGGGAATTTTGGGGATTTTATATATCTTGATAAAACAAGTGTTTGGAATGGTAATAAATATATGGGAGATGGTTATTTCAAAGTATTGAGGAGTTTTAGAGCCCACATGTATTTTGTTCATAACTTTGGTTCTAATTGATATGGAAATTTTACCTATTTGATGACTATTGGGAAACAAATGTTTACATGTTGGGTATGGTTTGACATATCTAGAGAAATATATATGTAAGACTAGATGCAATGGATCCATAGGCATATAAGTCGACTTAAGGTGATAAAATGGGATAACTAATCCCACCCCGTAGCTAGATATGGGAATCATATCTCCGGGGACTCAAACTACAGACAGTAGGTGGTTGAACTCGATGAATGTGTGACCCGTAACACTCTTTCGCTCTTAGTTCATTTGGGGGACTCAAACTACTGACTGTGTGTAGTTGAACTTGATGACCAATGTTCCATAGTAGGAGCTCTATAACATTGTACTGTGACTTACTTTTGTGTTTTATCACTGTCAATGGTAAATCAGGTATGCCCCGTCATCTTATGATGATTTACGCCCTTCCAAGGGTTAATATTATTTTAATATACAAATGGTCATGATTTAAAGCTATGCTTTCCGTTTTAATGTTTTATAGCTTTATTCAATAAATGTTTGTTCTCACTAGGCGTTAAGCCTAACACTTTTTCTTAAATGACATGTATATCAGGTTCACTTAGTGGTGGGGCTCCTAAGACTTGAGTGGAGCGGTATGTGCCGGTAGAGGCCTTTTTGGGTGACAATATTTTGGGAAGTCAATTGTGGAGTTACTATTGATACATCTATTCTTTTGAGGATTGTAACGACACCCGATTTGTAATCTAGATCTAGAAGTGATTTAGATTATTAGGTTGTTTGTTGCCATCCTTTAAATTTGTAAACTCTCATACCATTTCCCTTTTTATTGGGTGATTATATTTGATCAAATCTTAGTCCGTTTCAATTTTACAAGTTTAAATTGTCTCCTATTTTAGGGGTGTTACATGGAGGCACCAGAAATAAGAAGTTGAATGATTGCATGCCTTTAAAATAATCACAACTCCACCAATCTACTAAAATTAGAAAGTCTCCCGCTTTTTGACAAAAAAATCTCTTAATTCCCCTCTTGGGAAGGTAAACAAATATGAGAGAAGGTTACCATATTGCAGATTATCCTTGTGAGGATGCCTCATAAGCTAATGGTCCTACTCATGAAGCTACATGTATGTATGTAAATCGAACAATCTATTAACGTGCAGATAACAACTTGAATCACAGGTATAAGATTACAAGGAAAAAGAAAATAAATTTGAGAAAGGCATAAGAAATCATAGCCATCCACAATAGGGTAAGGACACAATTATTTGTTAAAAATGTCATAAAGCCTTACCCATAGTTCGGATTAACTCCAGTTGTTCCCATTCCCAATTCATGCATATTGGCTTTCCCCACCAATATCACCCCACAACTCCGTAACCTTGATACAGAAACTGCATCCTTTGTAACATCACGTACCTCATGAAGCCATGTTGTTGCACCTGTTTGTTGGCAACTTAAGCTAGATGTGACCAGTGCTGAAGAATATTTAGGTAAATTAAAAGATTGGATATATACCCTTAGATGGATGGGGATAACAATCTATATCATCCTTGATTGCCACAAAGATGCCATCTAATATCGACAATGGCTTTCCTGCACAACCCAAAAATGAATATGGAAATCAACTAAGAATGAGTTTTTGGAAGTACATCTTGAGATGGGTGATCGGTAAGTACTAATTTCAATATAGAAGCATATGTACCTTCCGCAAACCGTTGCGTTGAAGCTGCAGCTTGCTTTCTTACATCCTCGGCATTAAAGGAAATCAATAGAGGTGTTGGGGGTTTCTTATTGCTGAACTCTTCAATTGCACAAATGACATATTCTGCGACCTAGTCCATGAAAAGGATGTCACTTTTAGCAGAATAAAAAGTGGACTAGAATGTGGAGTGACTTGTAGGTGATATACCGTTGATGGGGTGGTAAGCCCCTTCCTGTAAGAATTTGCATAATCACGAATCTTCCAGTAGCAGAATGGAGTCGAGTCAGAACTGTGATAGTTAGCAGAATCATACTGGGGAAGACATTTCAAGGCTGATTCAACACGGTCTTCAGATCTTCCATCTTCTTTGAGAAAAACCACTCCAGATTCTGGTTCTATTTCAAACTGAATGAATTACTTCTATGTTTATGGAAGCTTATGCATAAGCACTTTGACACCAAGGCCTATATCATACATAACTCTTTGACCACGAGGCCATCAACTTTCTCTTTTGAAGAACCAAAATCAAGCTTACCTTTTCCAACATGCTGGAAAAAAGTTCATTTTGTTCTTTTTTTTTGTTGTGGGGGGGGGGGGGTTAACATTGAACATATATAATCAACAACTCATTAAGAACAATTTAGAATCCAAAGGAGGTCAAACCTTGAGGAGGGAACTCAGGTCTAAACATTGGTGGTTCTGGTATCACGGTATCTCTTAACATCTGGTTAATATCCAATGTTAGAGTGTATACAACAAAAAATAATCAGCATTTAGTTTCTAATTCCCAACATTGCAACTACCATTGGTTCTGCTATGCTTTGTTCAGAGCACCAGAACATAGAATAAAACCATAAGACTATCCTTGTTAGCATAGCATTTTACAAAATTCCATCAAGTAGCAGCATTTTCTCTTTGCATTCGAATTTCATTCAACGTTTTGATACAATCAGATTCCAAAACCTTAATCATGTGATGCAAGTTCTTAGTTCTGGGATGAAAATGGTGATGAAAAAATATCAAATAGAGCAACCAACAGAAAAGAAGCACTCCCAGTTGAGATAATTGTTCCGACTTCTAAGTTCAAAGGAGTCATGCTTAGAATATCAAAATTCATAAAATCTGACCAGAGCTGAAGCGTAAAGGGTGGTATGGCATCCAACTATCTAATAAGGTTTATATGGAACAGATTTTGGATTAGAAAACCACATGTTAATGCAATTTGGAAAGTTTGATCACAGACACACACATCTTTTGAAAATTAAATGGAGTAAGATAGATGAAACAAATAAAGTTTTAACCTTTATAAATTTTTTAAATCTTTAAGAAAACCACATGTTAATGCAATTTGGAAACTTTGATCACAGACACACATCTATTGAAAATTAAATGGAGTAAGATAGACGAAACAAATAAAGTTTTAACCTTTATAAATTTTTTAAATCTTTAACCTCCATTTAATTTTCAACATTCTTAAAGGTTTTATAACATAATGGACACTGGAAACTACCAAATCCTTAATCAAGATATGATGAAACTCGAGAAGTTTGACAGGTCTAGTTACACCCGTTGGACGGACAAAGTCAACTCCATGTTGATGGTGGTAAAACTCTATCTACCAATATGGGATCGAAGACAAACTTTCAACCCACTAAAATTTCCAACAACATCAGCATTAGAAGTTTAGAACACACCTCATTCATTTTGTTTTGTTTCTTCAAGTGACCAATGATCAAAGAACCGATCAAAGGCATTTCAATTAACTTGACAAAAAACTTCAGCCATAACCCAGTTATATGAGGAGCTGCAACGAACCCAACAAGTTAAAACATCACATATTAACTTCATTTCACAACTAATCACAAAAACAATGAAAAAAGTACAGCACACAAGAAAAAAGACCTTCAATTTCTCCGGTATCGTACTTGACCGTGGTCAAATCAACTTCAGTGACCGGCAACAACCTCGGCTTCCCCATCTTCACACAAACAATTCATCAAACATCAGGTGGGCATCATTTTGTACATAATTTCTAAACTCAAAAGATGAAAATGCTTACGAAATTGACCAGTGAGAGCGATAGATTAGAGGAAAAAAGAAGTTGGGTTCCTATGTGAGTGGTGTGATGATGATTGGTGAAATTGGCATTGATGAGCACAATGATGGCTTCGTATTGTTGTAACCAATGTTGACAGAAAATGTTGTTGGGATGTCAAGTTACTGAACCACGACTACAATACGATGACGTTTGTTACTCGGAGAAATTCTCGTGTTTGTTCGTCCGATCTCATTGAATTTCATGTCAGACCCATTTAACCATTCCTTGACTCAATTTTATTAAATGTCAATTATTTAAAACTAATAATATTATTTTTTTTTTCAATTCAAATCGAGTAGGTGTTTTTTCAGCGATTATTTTATTAAAACTAGTTGTGTATTCATGCAATGTTACGGGAGCCTTAAATTTTAACGATTTTAAAGTTTTACTGGTTTTATTAGACTAGATTTAACGATGATATAAGTTACACTTGGTGTTTACATATTAATACAATTTGAATAAATAAGAGTTATGGTTCCAATTATAGTGTATCGATGAAAAAAAATTGTGTGACGATTTAAAATACAATATATTTAAAATCAAACATATTTAAACGACTCTATAAATATGTTCGATTTGCACCAAGAGCAAAGAATCAAGAGATCGAGAACCAGACCGAGAGTTTTAGAGCAATTGAATGGGAGAACTTTTAATAATTCATGGTGAATATCAATTTGAATCTCACCTTGGAGGATGGGAAGAAGACATAGAGGTATGAAAGGGTGAAGGCATGAGTGAAATGTGTCAAAAGTATCTTGAGAACATAAAAAGAAGAAATAATAATGTACATTGGTAACTTGTACTATATGTTATTTTAATTGTAGATTAAGAGATTTTCAGATTGAATGCATAAAGTAGTAGTACTTAATGCATTATGAGTTGTTTTTAAGACTTTGTACATAAATGTATAATACTTTGAGCATTAAAAACTGTTTTTAACACTTTTGATAAATCTGATTTATAAAATAGTATAGATATTACCCGATCTGTATGACATGTCCAGTTTACCATGTAAACACCTCAATAATATTACCAAAAGACCTTTGGTCTAGCGGTATGAGTCATTGGCCTTCTAAAAGAATAAGGGTTCAATTACCACCAAAAGTAAGGAGGGTGTATGAGTTTTTTTTTTTGTTTTATTTGTCGTATATAAATATTATATATTAAAAAAAACACCTCAATAATATTATATTTTAACTTTAAATTTTAAAAATAAAATATTTGAATTTGTGAAATTAATATGATTATGTGTTTATATACATAGACACTTGGCAAAAACTTTACAATAAAAATAGTGTTAAAATATTAAAACACCAGTCCCAAGTAATAAATACGTGATCACGTTTAGTTGTTGCTCATAACTCATAAATGATACCAACAAGATAGAAACACGTACGTAACAATTTCATATCATTTTAAAAAGACACTTCATAAAACCAAAACCATGTAACACTACAGACAACTATTACTTGAACCTGATTGAAACCTAAGCCCAGCTGGCTTTGTCAAACTTGTTTTCAAAACTGATCAAGATCGACCACAAATTTATCCAAACCGAACGGAAAAGCTGGTGTCGTAAAATCAAATACCATGATACAGCTTAATTGTACATACGTTTTAAGCAACTAAGGTCTAAGGACATTAAGCACCCAAAAGAAACAACCATGGAAGCAAAGATGAGAAAGTACCAAGCTGCTCACTACCTTCATGGTGTTCAAACTATATGGATCAGGCAAGAGCTTCCGAAACACTTTGCTGTCAGCAGATAGTTTTCCTCTCGGCTTAAGAGCCAGACGTAACGCATCGGATTTCCAGCTTCCAAAGGCTATAAGTTCAGTTCCTTTGTGTAGACCATGCATGCTAGGACTAAAAGAGAAGAAACTAGAACACATGCAACATAACATATTGATGGACAGTCAATCATTTGTTGTTAACCACACAGGAGGGGCTTCATCACTGACCTATTCCTCTCTGTGCACCCTTATGGCAACAAACTGTCTAAAATGAAGACTATATCAAGTTGAGACTTAATGTCTTCAAGTCAGCATGGTTATTACTGAACTTGGTTAGGTTGGAAAAAAAAGAGGAGATCATATGCTTGATCACGCTGATCGCTCAACTACAATGATAAGCTTGTGAGATACAAAATATCAATAGAAAATTTACTATGTTTTTGTATAATGTAGGGTTCTAAAACAATTTTGTAACCACTTATATTAACCGCAACGGAAATAATTTCAATGACAAATAAAACAAATTTAAACAGCCGTAGGGTGTTTAGAGGGTTACCCATGGAATAAGGTGGAACGAATCTATATTTTACCAAAGTATTCTCGAAATAAAACATATTCCTGTTCTAAAACAACAAATACGTCTTTCTCTTTATATTTTATTTGTTCTTTAAATTTTATTTATTGTATTTTATTATTGTCCAACCGGGCTTTGAAGGGATAGGAAAAGGGAAGAAAATTAAAGGAGGATTTAAACTTTCAGTTTATTATTTGAGAAATTAATTAAAAATGGTTATTTTAATTAATTTTACATATTATTATTATATGTTTTTTATATTGTGATTAATTTATATAATTTATTAAATATAAATAATAATAAAAATAATATAAGAAGGTATAAAATAATATTTGAAAATCACATAAATTTCATATTTTGGTGTGATTTTAATTTTCTTGACAAAAAATTTTAATGATAAATTTTGTTATAAAAAATATTTATTTTATTACAATTTAATAAATTACACAAATTAATCAAAATATAGAAAAATAATATATATAAACAAATGAATAGAGGTAAATTAGTTATTTTTCCAATCTAAGTCCTTTCTATTCTGGTCTTACTAAATGCTAGGATGTATCATGTCTTATCTGGTTACCAAATACACCCCAAAATTAATTTTAGCAATTACTTATATAGTTTTAAGTATTTAATAACTTAATAATCAATTTTAGATATGAAAACACTAAGGGGGCATTTAATTCATCTGTAAAATATTTGGTTAAAAATCTTAAAAACCATTTTTGATATATCAAGTGTTATTTAATGATGTATATTACTTAAAATTCAAGATTACTAGTAAATTGTGTATATGTACAATTTTTTAAAGTTATATGTTTGAATTCAAATAACAAACTAACAAACATAATCAAATACAGGATAAAGATCTCATTTTAAATATAAAGAATCTAAAATATGATTAGGATAATCATTAATTCTAACAGAATACTTAATTATTATTTTTATAAAAAATAATATTAGTAAACCTAAATAAGTTACTTCATTATTAAAACTAAATTAAGGGGCCGTTACCGAACACTTACCCGTTAAGCGCTTACCGGTAAAGTTTAACATTATCATTTACTTACCAGGTAAGATTTTAGTTCACCAAAACGGTATTGTGTGCAACAATTTACCCGGTAAACTCTTACCATGGTAAGAGTCGTCGTTCTCACTTACCGGATAAGACTCTTGGTTCTTGTCTCGCTCTTACCGAGTAAGATTCTTGATACTTACCATATACATCCGTTAAAATAATGTGACTTGGTGTTCACTTACCCAATTAAACGTTTGGTAAACGATCTCTAAATTATAATAAAACGTTGAACTAAAAAAATTATACAAACAAACGAGAACTTCTAAGTTGTTCATTGGATACTAATATCGATATAAATTTTTATGGGGTCTTCAAATTTATATTTTATTCAAATATAAAAACATAATTGTTTTCTCAAAAAACTATACAAAACCGTATTACAAAATCGACAGAAATAAATAATAAAAAATACAGCATCAAAATCAAGATGTATTACTCGGGTACGCTTCTAGTTTTGAAAAATAGAATGAAAATGAGAATATAGAAGAACCTAAAATATGAATGAACATTGCATTGATGATGTTTGGTTAAACGGATATAATCATTGAAATTTTTTTGTATAAAAGAGTACAAAAGATGTTCATTCAACATGGAAGAGCACTAAGTTGGTCAACTTATTTTAAGTCAAAAGAGTTTTAACTTCTTTAAAAACTCTTTATTACCGGTTTGACACCGGTATAAATTATTTATTCAAACACTCAAAAGTACTTATTATCGGTGCTACACCAAAATAAGTCTCAAACACCCCCTAAGTTTGGTATGTAGCATTCATTACATAATATAGGTTCAGACAAAACCACAATCTTCGTTATCGTTTTCATTCCTTACCATTCGATACCCCAACCAAAGACCCCCCAATTATTAGGGTAAATGTAGCTACCCATGATTTCACTTTTTGAAGCAAAAGAAGTTCAAGTAATGAGGAATGTAATCACAAAACACGTTTGGATCTTCAAGAAGCCATGTCGCCCGTAGTTAGTGAGGCATAGAGCAGCGATTGCCTTTGTGAAGACGTGAGCAAGAATGAATTAAAGCTGTTTGACAGAAAACAGTGCCGGATGTTTGCATGGTTTCGGTGTTATCTTGAGTTGATGCAATTGTCAGTGTCTGGAAATCAGACTCAAAAATTGATGCAATTGTCTCCGTCTGGAAATCAGACTAAAAATGAATCAAGCCGATCAACTAGTAGTAGAATCTCATTGAAAATTTTGGTTGAAAAACGTATCTAGTTCCCAATTGGCAAATATAACAAAAGGTGACGATTATTGCTACTACCAAACCCCATATCATCTCATGGTTGTACCTTTTAGATACAATAACTGTTGAACAAGTCATAACACCATATCAAACATTCTCTCTACTTCTTTACCTCCTCGTATTCCGCCTCAGGAGCTTGTTCACCACCTTGCGATCCTCCAGACCCAGACCCTGAATCAGAAGACCCTCCTGAACCACCTTGCATATGCTGTCCGATCTTAGACTGTGCCTTGTTTGCAGCATCAATCTTGGCCTGAATCTCTGCAACATCTTCACCACCGGCAGCTTTCCTCAAATCAGCCACAGCAGCTTCGATTTCAGAGACCACTTCACTAGGAAGCTTCTCTTTGTACTCGTTCAAATTCTTCTCGACGCTGTAAATGGTGGTATCCGCCGTGTTTTTGGCGTCAATAAGTGCTTTCCTTTCTGCGTCCTTTTGAGCATGGAGCTCAGCGTCTCTAACCATCTTCTCAATCTCGCTATCTGAGAGACCTCCGGATGACCTGATTGTGATTTGCTGCTCTTTACCGGTGGTCTTGTCTTTGGCTGAGACTGTCACAATACCATTTGCGTCGATGTCGAATGTTACCTCAATTTGAGGCATGCCTCTTGGAGCCGGAGGAATACCCATAAGATCAAATTCGCCTAATAACTTGTTGTCGGATGCCATTTCACGCTCACCTTGCAGAACTTTAATCCCCACCTGAGTTTGGTTGTCAGCTGCTGTTGAGAATACCTACAAACAGAAGCAAAAGTTAAGATGATACAAAAGCACCAACAGTAACATTTGGCATCAAAACAAGATACAGTTACAAATGAACTTGTCCCACAACCAACCAAACTAATAGGCTATATAAACCATTGATTTCCCCGAACAGTACAAGACTGGAGGGGCACAAGTGAGGTAGGTGGGTGAAAAGATTGCACAAAGTTTTAGGGTTTTTAACCTGACATGGGTAATTTAGTAACTTACTAATTTTGCCTTTATCTCTCCTATACTTGTTCCATCTATTTTGATGAGACAAATAAAATGCATGTTTGTCCGTCATAGGGGCCGTTTACCCAAACACCTACCGATAAGCACATACCGGTTAAATTCAATGCCATCACTTACCTTACCGAGTAAGATTTTAGTCCATCAAAACCGCATCGTATGCAAAAAGTTTGCCTGGTAAGCGCCAATAGTTACGAGTCGTCACCCTCACTTACTGGGTACGACTCTCGGCCATCACTTGCGCTCTTACGGGGTAAGATTCTTGGTCCTTACCATATTCATCAGTTAAGGTAATATAACTTGGTAAACGGCTCCTTAGCATCTTATCCCATTCTAAATGTTGCACCAAACATGAGACAAGTTTTTGTCTGTTCACATGAGTGCAGTTGCCCATGGATTCACAAGACGTCATCATAGCCATTAAACATGATGAAAAAGGAATGCATGAAAGTAAAAAGGGAAATGATCACATAGCATCAGGAGGCATAACATCTCACCTGACTTTTCTTAGTTGGGATTGTGGTGTTGCGACCAATCAGCTTGGTGAAGATACCACCAAGTGTTTCAATACCAAGTGATAGAGGAGTGACATCAAGTAGAAGCAGTTCTTTAACATCACCACGAAGAATACCACCCTGAATAGCTGCTCCCATGGCAACTGCTTCATCAGGATTCACTCCTTTGCTTGGAGTTTTCCCAAAAATTTCTGTAACAACTTCCTGAACTTTAGGAACACGAGTCATCCCACCAACAAGGAGAACTTCATCCACCTCCTTGGTTGTGATTCCTGCATCCTTCACACAACTTTTGCATGGGTTCTTGGTCCTCTCAATCAAGTGGTTCACTAGAGCCTCGAATTTCGACCTTGTGAGAGTGATATTCAAATGCTTAGCACCAGAAGCATCAGCTGTGATAAATGGCAAGTTAATATCAGTCTGGGTTGTCGATGACAGCTCAATTTTAGCTTTCTCAGCAGCTTCCCTTAGTCTTTGGAGGGCAAGCCTGTCCTTTGTCAAGTTTATTCCCTCTGTTCTCTTGAACTCACTAACCAAGAAATCCAACATGGCATTATCAAAGTCTTCTCCTCCAAGGAATGTATCACCATTTGTTGCTTTCACCTGTATAAACAAAACAATTACTGCATTTTCCAGTCAATAGAGGAACAAACCTTAGCCAAAAAACCACATACCTCAAAAACACCATTAGATATCTCCAAGATAGAAACATCAAAAGTTCCACCACCAAGATCAAAAACGGCAATGAGACCCTCTTTGTTGTTTAATCCATAGGACAGTGCAGCAGCTGTTGGCTCGTTGATGATCCTTTGCACATCTAAACCAGCAATTCGCCCAGCATCCTTGGTAGCTTGCCTTTGTGCATCGTTGAAGTAAGCTGGTACAGTAATAACAGCTTTATTAATTGTCTTCCCAAGATAAGCTTCAGCAGTCTCCTTCATCTTGGTAAGAACAAATGCACCAATCTGGCTTGGAGAATACTTCTGCCCATTGGCCTCAACCCAAGCATCTCCATTTGGAGCCTTCACAATCTTATATGGAACCATCGCCATTTCTTTCTGTGTCTGGGTATCGTCAAATCGTCTCCCAATCAAACGTTTTGTCCCAAATATAGTGTTTGTTGGGTTAGTGACTGCTTGACGTTTTGCTGGAGTGCCCACAATTAATTCTCCTTTTTGGTTAAAGGCCACAACTGATGGTGTCGTTCGTGCTCCTTCAGCATTCTCAATAACTTTTGCACTCTAACATATAAAAGCATCAACAATTCTATTTCAATAAATATTCCAAGTAAAATATACATGTCCTTTGAACAGCAAAAATATAGCTCTTACCTTGCCTTCCATGACCGAAACACATGAGTTTGTGGTACCCAAATCAATCCCAATGACTTCATTTCCAAGAGGCCTCGAACTGTATCGGATGCATTTATTAGCTAGAAGTAAAAGAAATAAAAGCATGCATGTTGAAGATAGTAAACATGGTACCTGAAGGGTCTCGCAATTACTCCTAATTTGTGACTCAAATGTGATCCAGTCCATGATGTTTTGGCTCCGTTTAACTGCATATATATTCATTGTTGTTACAAACTATTAAACAGTATTATAGAGGTTAATTAAAGTCCTAATTAGAACAGCAATACGTTGCAAAGTATTTTGAAGATTTCCCTGCATTCACGATACAGCACAACTCGAAACCCAAACAATTCAAATCATGGAACACTGCACTGAGAAACTTCAAATATTGATATACATGGGGCGATCTTTACAACTATTTCCTTCATATGGATGAAAACAAGTCCGCTACGTGCAGTAAAAATAAATAAGCTAGCAAAAAACCGAGTCCTAGCTTTCAAATCAGATCAAGCTACGTGCAGTAAGAAACAACCATAATAATGATTGTTACTTCAGTAACCAAACTGCTCGAGCACAGTAATATATTGCAAATAGGATTTGATCATTTTCCAACAATATATTGCAAATGCTATGTAACATGAATCTGTTCAGTCATATAAACAAAACAATAAGATTAACCTACAGGAGACAGACAAGTATACGCGAGTCAAGGAGTGATAGCTCCCACATCACAGCACATAAGACACGTGAACACTCTAAACAAACAAATAGTGTATCACACACACGCACAAAACGCTAACAACTGATATTTGGTAAAAAAACAGAAATTCATCAACTGAGAAACAAGTGTTGAATATAAAGACGCAAGACAATAATCCAACAATAGATTGTAACAAACTTATACTATAAATACCATCCCCATCGCAAACCAGAGTCCACAATCAAAAATCTACAAATCACTTTACTAAACATGAATTTTGACAATCACTATCTTGATTTAATAGCAAAACTGCTAATCATATCAGTCTATACAGAACATAATATATATTAAACAATCGAATGATTGACGTAAAGAGTCGATTCTGCAGTTCGAAAAGCAGGACATCTGAATTTGGAAAAAGAACAGAAGTGGACATCAACCATGGGATGGAAGGAGTATCGTACAAGACATATACGTCAATCTTATATACACACAAATAACCAAACACCAATTCATTCCGAGCTTCTTGGAGTAAGCAAACACAAAATAAACAGCTTAGAAGAAAAGGATTCAGACATAGAAACAGAAAGACAACAGATCAAAGAGATAAAAGTAGAAATGAGAGCGCATACGGATTTGAAGGCAGAGAGAGAAGCAGATGCGACGTCTCGTCGACGAAGAGATCTGAGCAACGCGGCGGTCGCCATGGATCTATGAAATCTGTGGTTTAGAGAAATAGGGTTTAGGGTTTTTGTGATAAAAAAGAAAGCGAGAAGGAGAGAGAGAATTAGTTGGTGCGTGGAGGGGTCTGAGGCTGGGCTGCGTGGAGGTAGGGTTATCGTGCATCAGTGAAGCTTCTAGATTCCTCTACACCCGAAAATAAATGGCTTGTCCTAAAACCAGGTCAAGTGAGTTGCTTCAAAATACTTGTATTTTCTAAATATATTTAAATATTAATTATGGATTTATCCTATTTAATATTTAATTTCATACAATCATGATGTTAAATCATCGTTAAAATAAATTCATTAACTCAGTTAAATTAATGGTATTTTAGTCATTTTACTTTTTTTTAATTCTCATTAGAAAAAGTATAAGCAATATATATATATATATATATATACATATTAGTTGTGGGCTCGTGTAATACGACGGGATGTCAAATTTTATTGTGAACTAGTTGTGTATCCGCGCAATGCGGTGGGAGCAGTGAATTTTAATGATTTTGAAGTTTCACTGGTTTTATTAGAGAAGATTTAACGATAATATAAGTTACATTTGATCTTTACATATTAATACAATTTGAATAAATAAGAGTTATAGTTCCAGTTACAGTCTATCAATGAGAAAAATTGTATGACAATTTAAAATCTAACATATTTAAACAACTCCACAAATGTATTCGATTTACACCAAAAGCAAAATATCAAGAGATCGAGAGCGAAAACCGAAAGTTTTAGAGCAATTGAATGAGAGACGAATGAATGACTCATGGTGAATATCATTTTGAATCTCACTTTGGGGGATGGAAAGAAGACATAGAGGTATGAGAGGGTGAAGACATGAGTGAAATGTGTCAAAAGTATATTGAGAACATGAAAAGAAAAAATAATAATGTGCATTGGTAACTTGTACTACATGTTATTTTAATTGTAGATTAAGAGATTTTAAGATTAAATGCATAAAGTGATAGTACTTAATGCATTATGAATTGTTTTTAAGACTTTGTACATAAATGTATAGTACTTTGTGCATTAAAAATTGTTTTTAAGACTTTTGACAAATCTGGTTTATAATGTAATATAGATAGAGAAATTTAACACCTCAAACATATTCGGTGTATCTCACTCAAAATCAAAATCCAAGTAGATAAGATGTACACACTCATTCATATACCCCTTGTGGATTTATCTCAAATTTAAATTGTTTTAAATATAATTATTTTTTAATTAAACAAATCATATCAAAAGACAACATTTATTTAATTTGATATATGGTGTATGTTATTGTATTACCTTTTTTAATTAAAAAATATAAAAAAAGGTAAAATGACCATTAATTTAATTGGGTTAACGGATTTACTCTAACGATGTCAGTCAGAAGGACCATGGCTGTGATCAGTTAAATACCAATCCATAATAATAGTAATACAGAGACTATCGATCAAAATGTATTAAAATACAACAAAGTTTGAATTAGTATTATGTCAGTCTTTTCTAGTGTGCGCTTTAGTTTGCTTGTAGCTTCTTATAGTAGAGAGCGATAAGTTAGTGTTGCGGTAGCTGTTCCATTAAAAACCGATGCTTCCTTGGCCGTGTGAAACATGGATATTCAGGAATAAGAGAAGACGGTGCTCTTTCATCATGATTCCCACCAACGATTTGATCATCGGGTCGTGACCGAAATGTGCCGTTCACTCTAGTAGCTTAGACCATAGTTGACGGCGCAAACCCTAACGATGGCCAAGAAAGAAGTATAATTCTCCAACATAAAAAAACACGTATAACCATTATCAAGATATTGTATGTCCTTGGAAAAGAAAGTTGATTTACAGTCGAACCAGAAGGTTTCTGGTTCAAATCTTGATTCGGGTCAGAGGCAAAGGTAACCTTCTCTATCTCTTGCAACGGTTCTTTTGAGGAAGGATCTCCGGTTAAGAGACCAGCTTCGTTTTGACGCTTTTTGTCTCCTCCAAGCAGTTATTCGGCTATAAAGAAATGGAAACAGGAAGCATAAGAACACGAGAGCTAAAGTTGCCAGACAAACCAACATCACGTTTCTGAAACCGTCTACTAGCTCAGGATCTCGTTGTCCTGTCCAAGGGACGCCTCCCACGTTCATCCCAAAAACTGTAACGATGTTTTTTTTCAAGTCAAATGCACAGATCGTTGACATAACGAAAATACAAGAACTCGAAATAAGTTAATGTGACCTCAAGAGTCAAAGTGAACCTCTATCTTAATAGAAGATTTGAGCAAAGAATCTAACCTCCTGTAATGATGGATAGAGGAAGAAATATGATGGATAGGAACGAGAGATAGTATAGTTTTCGGTTGATTTGCTCAGCCTGCCAACTATCAAGACCAGCCTGGACGGCATTGACACGATTGGAGATAAAACCGACGTTATCCTTTAGCCTTCTCAGCCTCCCGATCAACTCTTCTAGGGAACTGATGTCTTCACTCGCAAACCAATCCTTTGCGCAACATTTTTCCTTCACTCTCGGGAACACTTGTTCTCCATGTGTAATCACCTGCATTCATGACCGAGGTTGAACCTGAGTTTTTGAACATGTTGACGTTAAAATCTTTCTAAAGATGGAACCGAAAATGCAAGAAGATACCTGTAACAGCCGTTGCAAGTCTAGATGCATTTTAGGGAATCTTCTATCATCAAGATATTGTTTCTTCAAAGAAAAACCACCTGAAAATTTCAAATTCGGGAATTAAGGCCAACAGTTACTAGCATACACACACAAAGATATATGATAGTTAACCACAAGGGTGGTGCCTGATTGGTTTGAGCTTGACTCCAAAGGTCAAAAGTACCAGGAGGTCCAGGTTCAAATCCAAGGAAGAATAAAAATCCCCTTGTGGCCACGGAGCCTCAAATGCGGTGACTCCGGGCTATCTGCAAAGCAGATGGTTGTCCTGGGATTAGTCGGCTCGCATAGCGGGTTGGATATCCAGGTTAATTAAAAACAAGATATACGATAGTTGTTGCAAAGAGGCAGCTTCTGTGATCGAACCTATTACAGTCGAGGGAAAGAGATGGAAATGAACAAGCTAGAGGAAACTTCCCAGTTACAAGATAGTAATAATGGCAAGGCCAAGAATCAAAAGTATATTTATATGTATGTATATATCTATAGGGTTGGGTTCACGTGAGACCAGGTTGTTTTCGTGAGACCCGTGAGACCACATTTTTACACTTGAAACTTCACAGCAAAAACACTGTGAAGGTTTAAAAAAGTCGAACCTTCACTGCAAAAACACTGTGAAGGTTAACTTCACAGCATTTTGCAGTGAAGTTTCAAATGTAAAAAGATGGTCTCACAAAAACAGGCTGGTCTCACATGATCCCAAGTCATATCTATATAGAGGCAATGGTGATGTAAAGTTTACCTTTATCTAATTCAACTTCTACCGAGTCAAGCTCAATCTCAAGTTTAGTAACAATATCCTCGAGGTGATCCACATGCGTGTCAACAACATGAACGACCAAATTTGAGACAGATTTAGGAACAGGATTGTCTGCCTCCTCGGAATGATTCATTGTCAACAAGAATTCAAGAACATGTTCCTTGATCACAATACCTTCTCTTTCCCTCATCCCACTTTGTTTAGCACCTGGACTCTCCACACTCGGGATCTCAGAGAGAAGAGACTGGCCCACCGGAGAGAACCCCAATCTAGGAACCCGGCCTAAAGACACAGTAATCACGGAATTCTCAGTAACCCTAGCAGCTAGCCTAAATGTAAACTTGCTTGAGGGTGGACCAGGTGAATTGACCCTAAATACAAGTGCTCCATCAACATGCCCACAATATGGTCCATTGCTAATTAAGGAAAGAATGTCTTGAAGTTTCAAGGGTGGACAAAGAACATCAATCAGGTATTGAGCAGATTGAGAAAGTTTCTGATTTCCTTTGGGAATTTCAACATGATACCAACAAAACTCTTTGCCACTACCTTCCAACAGATCCCATTCTTTATTGTAGTAATCACCTAATCCGTCGAATATATAGGCTTTTAGTCTAACTAAACCAGGATAATGAGACCGAAAAGAGTGTACCTCACCGTTACGAAGGCGTGAAGATGATTCACCCTCCATGTCATCTCCCTCAGTGTCTATGCTTAGCTCTCCCTTACCCATTTATACCGATTTCTATCGAACTTTCTTGCATAAAACACAGATTAATCTATAAGAAATCCAAGAGACAAAAACTTCCCAAAAGGAAATCAACTCAATTACTCAAACACCCAGCTGGAATTTCAGTTGAATTTGGAGATCACAACAAGACTACGAACAGATGCATGAAATTCGAACTTCGAAATCAAACCCATCAACAAATGTCAAATTAAACACTAACAATCAATAATGGAGATCAACTCCTGAAAACTGCAATCGAGACCCACCAAAATATCATTGGTTTCAAGACACATTCGTTGGTTGATCACTGGTGATTAGTCAATTGAATGCTTATTAGTACTGGATAATTGAAGAACGAACTGGGAAATCACACAAAACCCATGAAGAAAAGCTTTACCTGATTTAAGGGCAAGGCCGGCGATTGATAGATTGAATATGCGAAGACGGAAGAGAAAATCTATAGAAAAATGGTTGGATTATGAGGATGTAGGGAAAGACGTGTTGTATAATACAAGAGTAAATGCCATCCACTTCTGTGTGAAGTCAAATGCTTATACCTCAATATATTTGAATTCGAGACCCATTTCCGTGTCTTTTCACTTTCATCCAGAATTTTGCGGCTAAGGATATCTTTTCACAACAAATTAACCGATACTTTGTTCGTGAAAAGATATTGGATTTTAGTATTTAGTATTATATAATATAATAATTATTAACATAATAACATTTTGTTATGCTAGAAGAAGATTACTCGTATAATGCAGTGATGATACAATCTCGATTTTTAATGTTCTATTTTATTATTTGTCTTTGTCGATGTTATAATACGATTTTATGTGTTTTTGACAAAAAAAATAATGGTTTTATTTTTGAATAAAATATAAATTTGAATATATTATAAAATTTTGAAAAAAAAAAATATATATATATATATATATATATCAATGTTAATATCAAATCAACTATTTAAAAGTTTTCATTTTTTATNNNTGATAATATAACATTTTATAAAGATAATAATTAAGTATTCTGTTAGACTCAATGATTATCCTAATTATATTTTAGATTTTTTATATTTAAAATGAAATGTTTATTCTGTATTTAATTATGTTTATCTATAGTTAGTTACACGAATTTAGATGTGGAGCTTTAATAAGTTGCACTTATGCACAATCTACTTGAAATCGTTTTAAGTAATATGCATTATTAAATAATACTTTATGCATAAAAAGTGGTTTTTAAGAGTTTTTATTAAATGTTTTATAATATAGTATAGATTATGTGTTTTTAAGAGAGTGATAATGATTTTATTTTTGAATAAAATATAAATTTGAAGATATCATAAAAATTTGAAAAAAGATATCAATGTCAATAACAAATCAACTATTTAAAAGTTTTCATTTTTTATGTAATTTCTTTAATTTATTTTTTATTATAATTTAATTTAAGTTTAATAATTAAATAATTTACTTTTGATTTAATATTATAAATTTTATAAAGACAATAATTAAGTATTTTGTTAAAACTCAATGATCATTCTATTTATATTTTAGATTTTTTATATTTAAAATGAGATGTTTATCATGTATTTAATTATGTTTATCTGCAGTTAGTTACACGAATTCAGATATGAAACTTTAATAAGTTGTACTTACGCACAATCTACTTGTAATTTTGAGTTTTAAATAATATGCATTATTAAACAGTACTTTACGCATAAAAAGTGGTTTTTAAGAGTTTTTGTCAAATATTTTATAATATAGTATAGATAGATAGATTATGTTTTTTTAAGAAAACAATAATGATTTTATTTTTGAATAAAATATAAATTTGAAGATATCATGAAAATTTGAAAAAAAGAATATATCAATATTATTATCAAATCAACTTTTTATGTGCAAAAAGTTGATTTGATATTAACATTGATATCTTTAAATTTATATTTCATTCAAAAATAAAATCATTATTGTTTTCGTAAAAACACATAAAATCGTATTATAACATTGACAGAGACAAATAATAAAATATAAAATATAAAAAATATTATTAAACTCAAGAAGATAAAATAGTTACAATAATGTAATTCTTTTTAAAATATGATTAAATTAAAATCATGGGTTCAAAATTAAAAATTAAAATCAGACGTGGATTTATTTTGAAGAGCAAATTACGATTTTGGCTCATGTGATTTATATAAGATTACAAATAAAGTCCCTCTATTTTAACGAGTATAATAATAGAACAAACTACAAATCAGTAACACAAAAAAAACCCAGATATTGCACACACACAAACACCCGTAGACACACAAAATACATACATAGATATACATGTAAAAGGACAAAAATACTTTTCATTTAACGGCATACTGACCGATTCTGTTATTATCAAGGATCACATTCAAAGTAAAATACAAAATATTGGACTGTTATTGTACTTTATTAAAGTTTAGGGGCGCTATCTGTAGTCTTCTGTAAATAACAGGGACAAAAATTGTAATTTTCTCTATATTCAAGTATAAATATAGACCTTCCATCACATAACTTCATTTTACGACTCATGTCATATTCAAGTTCCCGCTTTTTTCTTTGATCTTCGTCTATCCACTGCTTTCTTTTACCTGCATTTGCTTATGAATCTTGTATCATATGTTTTGATGAATCGATCACCACCGGTCATCGTAATCGTCCAAATGTATGCAGTTTGTTTAATATGCGTCTTCTTGATGGACATCGATCTTATTATTTACGGGGTTCTACTTTTGATTGGCGAATAGGTTTAGTTCACGTTTTCTTGGATCGATCGMMAMTGGTCCTTGAGGTTATCACAAAGCCAAGATTCGTCTCAGATAGACAAGATTTGATGATTATACAGTATCTTGATGGACAAGAGTTGATGATCATACGTCTTTTCTTGATACAAATGTTAATCATTATTTATCCGTTTGTACTCATACTGTGTTAAGTTCGTGTGCTGTTGGTTCGATCGCTTCGTTGTGGTTCCTGCAACACCAAGATTCAGAAACTTCTTCGGAGACGGACAAGGTTTGGATAATCATAGTCTCCTCTGTGATATTATTACCCATTGTTTTCTACTAATCATGTACTTGAGTTCTTTTACGTTTGTAGTGGGTGATGACTCTCCATCAGTTTGGTTCTCTTCTTGCACGCTTCTGTTTGCAGTCATATGCGTAGGTGAGAAGTTAGTTGTGTATTAATAGAATTATATATTAAAATTTTGAATTCTTGTTGATTGTTACACTCCGATATAATCCTTTCATTTGTGCAGATATCTTCAGCGCATGCAGGTGTTTGATCGAACATCTTTGTTTAGGATTTGTATTGGCGATGCATGAAGTGTTGATGTATAGATCAGGCAAGACTGCAGCAGGTACTGATTTGCATTTGTATTATGGCCTTGCCATGTCGGGTGTGCTTGCTTGGCAGGTCATACATAATAAAAACAATGGTTTTTGGTTGATGGAGGGAGATGGTACGAGGTTTGCCCGACTCTCCCTCCATGTGGGTGTGTGGTTCTTTCCCCCTCCCCCTCTCCTCTCTCCGATTATCTTGCTTGCTTGTTTCTTTTGTGGCATTCTTTAAACACAAAAATACCACAAGACCGCCAATTGCAGAGATTCAATACCATTTTCACTCTATTTGTTACAAATGCAAACCATTTCTTATGGTTACAAAAGCATCATCACTTCAATGTGATATTTGGATTCAAATAATTTCTATTGTATTCAACAGTAATCTGTCCATGAAATGTTTTTTATTATTAATAATAATATATCCATCCACCAGTTCCAAAATCATCACAATATCACAGCTCAACTCATGGCTGGTTACAAATGCAAACCATTTCTTATGGTTGGCTAATTATGGTTACAAAAGCATCATCAATTGAATGTCATATTTGGATTGAAATAATTTATGTTGTATCAAACAGTAATCTGTCAATGAAATGTTTTTATTATTAATCGTTGATGGGTTGCAATGTTTGTTGGAAAGGTATTCTTCTAGCCAAGGATTGTTCACTTTTGGTTTTGGTTTTGGTTATTAGTTATTGGTTTGTATAGTAGTGCACTTCATCATAACCCGGGGGCCTGTCCTGATGGTTGAGTGGACATGCTTGTTGGTGGGAGTCCCACCTTAGGTTGTAAACGTTCTGTTATTGTAATAAAAAAATGCCCTCCTCCGTAACGAACTTTGAGAAGCAGCAGCACGAAGATATAACTTACAGCCACAACAGCAACTTCAGTTAACCTGGGCGTGGAATTAAGTGTCATAGAGAAGCGGCCAGCAGCACGAAGATATAACTTAAAGCCACTGCATTGGAGCAAGGTGTCCAGGATGGGGAAGTATTTCAAAGACATGAAGGTACTTCTCATCTCTCTGAAATAATTTTGTGTATTATATGATTTGAGTAGTATGCATAAAACCATTTGTTTAGCTTTCCAAGTAGTTGTGAACATACCTGCTCTGTTGAGTTTATGAGTCATGTGTGAAGTTGCTACTCATAAACACACACAACCCTTTACCTATTGATGGACCTGAAACCTTACTATATTTACTTACATCTGGTATTTTTGATGGAAAACAGGTTGCAGCTTTCAACAGTAAACTTTATCATGGCTGTGTGTCTAAGGCAGGAAGTGAACAGAGTAGGATGTGAAGAACTTTATCATGGCTGTTGTTCACTTTTGGTTTTGGTTTGTATAGTAGTGCAGTTCATTAGGTTGTAAACATTCTGTTATTTTAATAAAAATTTCAATTTTATCAAGTGGTTTAAGTCATGAATGTAAATATGTTCTGTTTTCCATATTCATATTCATATTCAATTCAAAGATTTATTCATGTTTGTAGACATAAGGTTAAAGAAAGGTTGGTTCATATGGAGTCAACCAATATGTGGAAAGAAAGTTCATTTTAATTTGTATGCATAAATGGTCACTGCTACGAGGTTCAAATGGAGTGTTGTTTCATAAGTGAAACACAGGGTGAGAACGCTCAAAAGTGCCCCAATTCAACAAAAAGCAAATTATTCTAACATTACCAACCAACAAATCCGCACCTAATATTTATAAAAAGCAATATATTATTAGATCTAAAATAATTTACATTGTTATTAGACCTAAATTAAATTATCTAAAAAATGAACTAAAAAAACTATAAAAAAAAAAGATTTTTTAAATTATTAATTTAATACTGATAGAAATTTTTATAGGTCTTCAAATTTATATTTTATTCAAATATAAAAACATTATCGTTTTCTCAAAACCATACAAAAGTGTATTATAAAAAACATTAAAATCAAGATGTATCTCTCTGCATTGCACGGGTCGCTTCTAGTAATAGAAATGTATTTGCACAATCCAACGCAATATATCTCGAATTTAACATTTCATTTTATTCTTTGTCGAATTTTATAGTACGTTTTATATGGTTTTGAGTAGCGATAATGTTTTTATGTTTGAATTAAATA